TCTCATCTGGGTTTGGCAAGACTGCACCATCTGAGAGGCTAGTGACACGAGGCATCAACGGAAGGTGTGGAAGGCGTGGGGCTTCGGAGCTCCAGCCTCAGTGATGTACGCATCCTTAATTGATGGGGAATGTGGCTGTGGTTATTGCCATGAAATGCTCTGTGGATAAGAGATTTCCACAATGGCACTCTTGCAGTTTACAGACGACCTCACATTTTCAGGAGATGGAGAAAGTTAGAGGAAAAAAACAAAGGATTGTTTTTTTCACAGTAAGAACTAAACGGTTGGGGCCGGAAAGATAGCTTAGTAGAATAAGCGTTTGCCTGGCAAGCACAAGGGCCTGAGTTCAATCCCTGGTTCCACAAAAAAAAAAAAAAAAAACTGTGGACATTGAGGAAAATTGGCACTGATGTTAGATTTGAAAAAGAGAAAGGTGAATATTTTCATAAGACTCTTATAGCATGAAAAATGATACTATTTGCAAAAGTTCACAGAGACAAAATAAATCTTTACTAACTAAATATTCTTTTATTTATTTATTGTTTTTGCTGTACAGGGGATCGAACTGGGAACCTTGTGCTTGCCAGGGAGGAGCTTATGCTGCTGAGCCACATCCCTGGTCTTAATCATTCTAACTAAATGTATTCTCATCCAAAACTTCCCAATAAAATACTACTTACCCTTCAATTGTGTTCGCAGCCGCCGCCGCTGTCTAACGCCAGCGCCGCCTCTCTCTCGCCAAGCTCCAGCCAAAGGAGAAGGGGTAGGGAGGTCCCTGCGCCACGACTCATGCCAAGCCCACTGCCCGGAAATCCACCGGTGGGAAAGCGCCCGGGAAACAACTGGCTACAAAAGCCGCTCGTAAGAGCGCGCCCTCTATTGGAGGGGTGAGGAAACCTCATCGTTACGGGCCTGGGACTGTGGCTCTCCGTGAAATTAGACGTTATCAGCTTCTGATTCGCAAACTTCCTTTCCAGCGTCTGGTTCGAGAAATTGCTCAGGACTTCAAAACAGAGCTGCGTTTCCAGAGCGCAGCTGTCGGTGCTGTGCAGGTTGCAAGCGAGGCCTATCTGGTTGGCCTGTTTGAAGATACCAACTTGTGTGCCATCCACGCCAAATGGGTAACAGTTATGCCAAAAGATATCCAACTAGCACGCCGCATATGTGGAGAACGTGCTTAAGCGTCCACTATGGTGGGAAACATTTCGTTCTCATTTTTTTTTTCCTCTTCTTCCTGTTATTGGTAGTTTTGAATGTTAGGTTTTTTGTTTTGAGTTTTTTCCCCCCGTGGGGTCAAAAGGTACCTAAGTACATGATTGCTAGTGGAAAATAGGGGACAGAAATCAGGTGTTGACAGTTTTTCCATTTTCATTTGCGTGTGAATTTTTATCTTCATGCGGGATGTAAAGCACTAATGCAAGTCAAAATGTTTCGGTGAACACGTTTCGGCACTTTGACTTTATAACAATTATAAATAAAAATCTGTTAAATTTTTCTGGAAAACGCCAGCATTTGGAAAAAAAAAAAAACTAGATTTCTTATTGACAGCAACTAAATGGTGGTTGTAGAATTTTTATCATGCAGTGGATTCCATCCAGTCACTATACTTTTCTAACTGAGTTGTCTTACCTGCTAGTACATGTTTTTAATGTTTTCTGTCTTTCTGT